CAAGTACATATATCTCCTACTATGTGTTAGATACTATTCTAAAGCGCTATACAAAGATTTACTTATTTAATACCATCTATAAGAAATCAAACTAGACTACAAAGTTATAATAATTGAAGTACTGTGATACTGGCATAGGAGGAGAACTCTAGACCAATGACAAGGTATCATATCAGGTAAGGTCCTATGAAAACAGATACCAGATGAATGAGAAGTGCAAGAGATTCTTTTGGGGAAAATACCTATAAAAAACAAGGGAGAGGGGCTGGAGTTGTAGCTCAGTGATAGAGCGCTTGCTAGCATGTGTGAGCCCCTGGGTTCTCAGCACCACATATGAATAAAATAAAGGTTCATCAACAACTAAAAATATATATATTAAAAAAAGAACAAAAGGGAGAAGGAGGGCCTTCCAACCACCATGCAATTTCAATATCTATGCAAGAAGATAGAAAAGCTTTAGATTGTTATATGATTCTGAGAAAAATCTCATCTAGACCAATGGAAACCTCCAGAAAGGCTGCCTTTTAGAAGCGCCTCTCTTGGGACAGAAAAGATCCAGCTCTATAGCCCCACTGTGTTCAGTCATTGGAAGGGGTCCAGAGGGAGTGTGGCTTCAGTGTGAACACTGAAGTGGATTTTGGAGGTGTGGCTGCTGGAGGCCAAATACATTTCTTACAATGGGGTCTGTTTTGAAGGGACTACTGAAGAGTGTGCCTTTGTGGCCACCTGAGGTGTTTTTTTTTTTTTTTTTTTGGTTATCCTCATTTGCCTTTTTCTATTGATTTTTCTTCCAACTAAAGAGTAACCTCATATATCTGACTTTTTTGCATCTCCATAGGCAGAATCTCATACTTTGCATATCATTTTCAAATTAATATTTTGTTTTTGAATTAATTTTGTTTTTAATGATTAGTAATGAAAACCTAGTCAAAAATCTAATATGAAAGATTGAAGAACAGATTCATTCATCTATGTGAATGCACTGAAAATAATTTAGGCATTTCAAATGAGTGGGGGGAAGTAGAATATTTAAATAAATGATGGTGAAATAATTGGCTAACCATTTAGAAAGAATTAATTTAGATTCCTATTTCACATCATCCTTAATATAAGTCAAATCCAGATGGAGAAAAACATTTCAAAAATATTTGAAGAAGAAAAATTTTAGAGTATTCTTGGCATGGAAAAACTTTATGCAAAATATAACATACAGAAGCCATAAGAGAAATGACTGAAAGAGATTTGATGAAATTACTATTTAAAATTTCTGTATGGAAAAAGGCATCATAAACAAAATTAAAAGTCAGGTGATAACTGAGCACAGTGCAGTACACCTGTAATCCCAGGTTGAGGCAGGAGGATCATTTGAACTTGGAGTTCAATGCCAGTTTAGGCAACATAGTGAGACCTACTCTCAATAAACAACCAAAAAGCAGATACCTCCCCCCAGCAAAAAAAAAAAAAAAAAAAAAAAGTTAGGCGGTAGTAGATTTGGATAAAATATTTTTGCCATATACAACAGGCAAAAAAGTGAAAATTATTGGGCATGAATTAAACGTATTGCTGGAATTCAATGTTTGTAATTGGTGAATAGTATAGCTCAATGATGGCAATTAGGTTTGAACTGGTTCTCTGGGGTGAAAGGAAATGCCACATGGATGGGATACCACATCCCATTTATAGTTGGAAGAAAGAGAGAAAAAAGTGGAAACCCCTCTGTCTCTAACCAGGAAAAACCTTCCTAGATTCCTTATAGGCTTGCCTGTTATTGGCCAGAATTCCTACATGGCTGCTTCTTTAGGATAGCTGGAAAAAATGAATATTTGGCTTTTCCAGCCTTTCCAGTGGAAATGGGCAAGGAAGAAATGATTTGGAAATAGGTTTTAATTTAGTAAATCCTCAACATTTGCCATATCTACAGGAAAGAGAATGGTAATGTTTGTACAAACTATGATATAACCTTGCTAAGGAAAACTATGCAGCAAAATAGCTAAGTCTGTATAGACTAATATGGAAAGATTTCTAAGATGAAGAACAGAACATACAACCTGATATTATTTACAAGTACATGTATATATGTGTGTACATACATAATAAATAATACATAAAATATGTAATTATAACATATATTATACATAGTAGTTACCTCTGGGGCTGGGAGAAGAATTGAAGCAGTGAAGGATCTAAATTTGTATGCTTCTGTACATTTAAATTGCTTACATTAAGAATGGGGTCCATTTTTTTTTTTTTTTTTTTTGTGGTACTGGGGATTAATCCTAGGGGTGCTCCACCACTGAATTACATCTCCAGCCCTTTTTATATTTTATTTTTGGACAGGGTCTCGCTAAATTGTCAAGGCTGTTTTTAAACTTAGAGTCCTCCTGTCTTGGCCTCCTAAAGTGCTGGGATTACAGGCATAGGCCACCATATCTAGCCTGTATTTCTTGATTGATTAGAAAAGAAGCATCAAGTAATTACTACCCTTCTTAAAAAACAAAAACAAGAAAGTAAAACCTCAATTCTCTTCTTTGTCTATGGAATAGTATTTTTCTCCCCACACAACCTTTTTCTTTATTTATTCCCATGGCTGCACCCCATTTCTATTAACTTGTGTCCTGTAGATTGCAAGTAGACTTCTGATATTCATCCCTCCAGTCTTTCTTTACCCCGGTCCTGCAGTTCACAGTCACTTACTTTCCCTAAGACCAGGTTTATTTCAATCATCCCTGTCCACAAATCTTTTTTTATTTCCACAGAGTATTCAGAAGGATGCCAACAGTATCCCATAGAAAAACAATTCTGGGGCTGGGGATTTAGTTCAGTGGTAGAGTGCTTGCCGAGCACTTGTGAGGCACTGGGTTTGATCCTCAGCACTGCATAAAAAAATAAATAAAATAAAGGCATTCTTGTCCAGTTACAACTGCAAAAAAAAAAAAAAAAAAAAAAAGAAATTAAAAAAGAAAAACACTTCTGTAGTGTGTTGAATTGGGAAATGCTGTGTTAAACACTGTTAAAAAATATATCTTCAGAGGGGAATATCTATAGACTTTAAAATGCCAAAGTGCTAAGGGAATCTCTAATGGGGGAGACTATGTAGTTGTTCTCAATTCACTTGACCATGCAACTCTTCTTTTGAGGAACACTTTGTCCTTCTCAGAACACACAATGAGAAACAAGTGACTTAAAAGGAAAAGTTCATGATGATTCTGGCATTCATGGCTTTGCACAACATATTTATACCCTATTTCCTCCACTCACTTCCCAAAATGATTTTCCTTCCTTGCTCCCTCCTTCAGGGGTTAGTGCTAGTTCCTCTCCCTCCAGGGAGTCCTTCCTAATTATCTGTTTCTCTGAGCTGTTAGTTACTCCTGAAATGTCTGGTTACTGGCAGTCTGCCTTTTGTGGGGCCATCTTGTCTATCTAAGCACTGGGATTGTCTGAGAAATAATCAGTGGCACACAGGTGTCCTACAAATATTTTGCTGCTTAAGGAATATCATGCATCTCTCCTAGCTTAAATGCTCACCTCCTGGGAGTATTTAGAACCTTAGATGAACCTTATACTGGCAGAAATCCTAGGCTCCTGGCCCCCTTCTTCCATCTTCAAAGGTGAGTTTAGGTCTTGTCACACCACATCACTCTGACCTCTTTTGCTTCTGTTTTCCACTTTTTCTTTTTAAAGACGTTTTAGCTGCAGATGGACATTATTTTATTTATTTTTATGTGGTGCTGAGGATCTAACCCAGTGCCTCACATGTGCTAGGCAAGTGTCCCACCACAAAGCCACAACCCCAGCTCCGTTTTCCACTTTTAAAGGACATCGGGCCTACTCAGATAATCAAGAGTAAGTAGTATTCTTATTTAAGGTCAATTGGTTAGTAACTTATTCTATGTGTAAGCTTAATTCCTTTCAGTCAGGTAACCTAACATTCAGTTGCCAGGAACAGGAAAGAGGACAAGTGTGAAGGAGCCATTCTCTCTTCTACACTCTTGTTCAACAGTCTAAATTGAGAGTTTGCATATAGATGGCAGGGGATAATGAGTGGGAAAGGTATTTGGGAATTTTGTAATTCAAGATTCCTTTCAAATACAAGGAGGCTCTGAGGCTTGACCAGAATTGACATTTCCCCTAAAATGCAGATTCCGCAAAGCCATCCATTGCTCTCTGCGTGTTAGATGAAGTTAGTTATGTAAACGGGCTTAGCTTAGAGGCCAACAAACAGGACTCAAGAAGTTCTTGATGAATCTTGATGAGGAGGGTGGGCGAAGTTCTCTGAGTGACATCTGGAGATAGTTTGAGAGATTTCCGGAGAGGAGTGGGTGAGAAGCGCCTGCCCTTGACTGAAGCTGAGTGAAGAAAATTCCAGCAAAATAGATCGTTTTGTTAAAGCTTCTGAATCAAGGGCTTGGCAGAGGGCTCTGGTTTTAAAAAGTAGCTAATTATCAAACCTCCAGGCAGTGGATCCTGAACAGAATGAGGAAATTTGTGATTTTTATAGGCAAAGATTATATTTCACTTAATTCAAGGCTCGATACATGGCAGTAGTTTCATTTCTTATTAAGATCGTAAACGAATTATTAAAAAGTTATGGGTATAGGTTCCACCGAGATTTGAACTCGGATCGCTGGATTCAGAGTCCAGAGTGCTAACCATTACACCATGGAACCGCCACGCGTGTATAGCCGCCTTCAGCTGCCTAATCCTTAGAGAACCCCGCCCCCATCCACAAACCCACCACCGAAAGGAGGCTCACGCCTCTCAGTACGCCGCTTCCCAGCATGGTGGCACAAGAAATGAGCGAGGGGCCACCAGAACTGTGGTCAACAGTGAACTTAAGACTCAAGTTTCCTACATGAGCCTCCTTTAGAAGCGAGAATTTTTAAAGACCGACGCTACGCGAAGAGGAACTCCCACACTCCTCCCTTCGCGGCTCAGGGGCGGGGCACGACGCCATCTCCCCGGAAGTACTTCCCCTTAGGGGCTGGGGCTTGCCGGAAGTGGCGCAGCGGCAGGGAGGGACTCTTCACCGGGTCCGGCAGCTGAAGCTCGGCGCTCGGGTTACCCCTGCAGCGACGCCCCCTGGTCCCACCGATACCACTGCTGCTCCCGCCCCTTCGCTCCTCGGCCGCGCCATGGGCACCCGCGACGACGAGTACGACTACCTCTTCAAAGGTGAGGCTGTCGGCTCTCGCACTGTCGACCAAGTCCCGTGCGGGGGCCCGGGACACTCCCGGGGGACCCGCGTGCGGGCCGCCCCTGCACTGAAATGGGCCTGCCTCAGTCAGCCCTTGGTCCTGCGGTCCCCTGGTTATCGCCTCTCCTCCCCTCAGACGGTGGGTCCGATCACACATTTGTCTCCTAGCGGGCCCCGTAGGCCTCCGTAGCCTGAGAGCCCCTCACCGTGTCCTTCTCACGGCGGACTGCTTTCTCCTAAATCGTGTAATTCCTTCCCTGGGTTCTGGGGCTCCGCCGCCCCTCCCACCATCTCTGGTTTCGAGCTTAGCGCCCCCTCCCTTTCTGGATGCTCTTTCCCCGACTCACATCCCCTCCGACCGGCCCTTCTCTCCTCTGGGCTTATCCTTGGCCGCGGACTCCCACTACAGGTCTTTTTTTAATCTGCTCCCCCTTTCCCTGGGAGTGAGCCTTTCCTCTGCGTCTCCTCATCGCCCCTCCCTCGGGTGGCCGCCCCTCTTAGCTAGATTCTCCTGTCCCGGGGCCAGGTCCTCATAAAATCAGAGCGGGCCGAGGTCCCCCACCCCCACCCCTACCCGCCTCGCTGTTCTCGCGGTCAGTAACCTTCTGGTACTGCTCCCTGGTTCCCAGCTGATAGGCACCCCTCTCTCTCTGCCTGCCCTCCTCAAATTGTGTTTAAAGCTCCTGTGTCTTCTCCGGTACCACCCGGGTGGTGGATAGGAGGGCAGAAGGGGTTGTCCATCACCCACGCGCGCACTTGTCGCAGTGACCCGGCAGGCTGATAGGACTTCCCACCTAGCCTTTTTTCCTCCTGCTGTCTTTACCCAGCTGCAGCTAGCCCGGGATAAATCTTCACTTCGTTCGCGAGAAAGGGTTGCGGATGGGTGGTGGCTGTATCCTTGCCAGACCTGAAGGCCCAGTTCCTGAACAGGAAAGGTTGTGCCCTGCCCAAATACTAGCTTGCTTATCACTATGGACTGGTTGCTTCCTGCTGCAACACTGGGAGGATCCAACAGGAAGGGAAGAGCCCTAGTTGGCCGTATACCTTTCCCAAACGGTGGGAGGTGGGGTGGGTGGTGGGTGGTATTTGTGTACTCTTTTTGGTTAAATTTATATTTATTATAAGGTAGGGAAACATGTAGTGCCCGTGGACAGATATTGGAGGATGGGAAGTGGGTAGAAAGCAGTGCATATGAGTTGAGTCTGAAAAGAATCCAAATAATTTTTTTTCAATCAACAAAGATAAAGGATACAGCTTTCACTGAGAAAAGACTACAGTGAATGCTTTTTTTGTTCAGTGAATGGGCTCTCACTTTGATAGTCTTTTTCTGCTGCTGAATTAGAAGGGCAGCAATCAGTAGTGTGCTGAACAAAGATCTTTACCAGGGGGGAAGAAGCCATTGCTATTAAAGCTTTACTGTGGAGGGTGGAGTTTAAAAAGAATGTTCAGCATGATGACTTTTCCTGACTTTGCCATTGGGTGCTAAGAATGATTGACTAAACAAAGCAGGAAACATTTCTTTGCTTTACCAATACTTTGCAAATCTTTTATACTAGCTGATGATATATACTTACTCCTCTGAGAAGTATATTCTATTATATAGGGTGAGTATCTTTCTTATCACCCTTTTCTTCATATTGGAAGGTAATTTTCAGATAAGAGTATTTAATTTTACAACTACAAAAAGGAGACATGGAGTATTTGCACACTGTTTGCTGAAGGCATCTGAAGTGACATGAAATTACTTGAGTCCCTGGAGACTTTGGGGTTTAGTCATTAAAGGGAGGTTTGTTTTTTAAAATACTGTATAATAGCAGTGGGCAGGTAGCTTCCTCTGAAGTAATTTTGAACAAGATAGACTATCAAGGTATTTCTCTTGTTTGTTATAGAAAGCCCCTCCTCCCAAAGATGATAATTTTCCTGGATTGGCTTATGGAATTTTAATTTAGTTTTGGTGTTAAACCATCCTTCTAACAATGAGAAAATAGAGCTTTGGAATCACACCTGGTTTAAAATCCTGATGAGTTAACATTTGCATTGTGACCTTGTGAAAATTAGTTTTTTTCTTTTTTGAGCCTCAGTTCCTCATCTATATAAAGGAAATACCGTAATACCTGTTTCTCAGAAGTGTTGTGATGAATAAACAAGTCAATAAAATTTTAGCTCCTGAACTCAGTAAATGGTAATAAGATGAAAGAAGTGACTGACTTTTTTTTTTTAGTTTTTCTTAAATCTTTGTATATTATAAGAGCATTTACATATTAGTGAAGAAACAAAACTAGGAAATTTCTAAAGCATTTTATGTTTTTATGTGTTATTTTTTCATTTTGTTGAACATTTTGCTGTTTAAGGTAGGGTGTTTAAAAATTCTGCTGAGAAGAATTTCCACTTTTTATAAACTACAGGATATGAGTCACTTTTTTTTAAAAAAAACCTCATTGTTGATTACTTAGCCAATTTTTTATTTATATAATTATTTTAAAACAAAGCAAGAATCATTTTAAAGTGATTTTATTTTGTAGAGATTTATTCTCTAAGATGAACTGCAGCTATATCTACTTGGAAGAAGGCTTACTGTAGCATACTTTAATAGTTGAAAGAACTGGAGTTATAGTTTATAACTAACCAGTTGAAAATAAAGAGATATTTTTATAAGTATGTGGTGGAATGGTGTAAGGGTAATGTAATGTGGGGAGAGTTGGGAAGTTATTCTAAATTATGTATTTGTTTTGAATAAATTAATGTACATATATCTGTTCAAGCTCTACAGTGAGACTTTTGGGATGTGTATGTTTGGGGCTAGGCGGAATAAGATTTAAAAATTTTTTTTTTTTAGATTTAATGAACCTTTATTTTATTCATTTATTTATATGCGGAGCTGAGAATCCAACCCACTGCCTCACACATGCTAGGCAAGTGTTCTACCACTGAGCCCCAGCCCCAGCCCAGGAATAAGTTTTTTTATGAGACACAGGTGAAGTGAACATCAGTCATAGTTTGTGTTTACATATATTGTGGAAGAAGCAATCCATTTGAAGTCACATATTCTGAATATTACTGGGAAGGTAGATGGTTATTTAGGGCATTTTCATTAACCATCAGCTGACTATACGAATGATCATAGGAACATCGCTGTTGTACATCTTGGTAGTTTTTCTTTCACAACTTTTGGTTGAGCAACTTGGTTTCTGCTGAATCTGGAAAAACTTGCTAGACTTCTGCCTTACTGAATGTATTTTAAAGACTTTTGATGAGATTGGACTATTAATATAGTTTAGAAATTAGAAATATCTTCAAGTTTATGAAAACCAGTGTGAAAATGATCAGTTACTCTTTCAGTTGATAATATCTAGAGCTGATGTGCTATATGTGATGTATTGGATTAAATTTTCATTCAGTAAATTAGTTTGTTGGAGAAAGTATAAAACTAAGTGATTGAAGAGGTGGGAAATTTTTATTACATAATGGATAATTAATATGTGTATTCTGCTTTATAGTATTTAGCAGTCTGATCTTTGAGTTCTGTATATAAACAAATTTAGTATTAGGTATTAGAGATAATGTTAAATTTCAGAGGATAAGGCTAACCAACTGAAGATAAATACTGTCAGATTATTTTGGAATTTCAAAAATGTTTAGTTTCTGTTATTTAATGTTTAGATTCTGTTATTTACCTTGTTATTTACTACATGTGTGCCATATAGATGGCTTATAATTGTAAAATGTTTAAAGGGAAGTACTAAGATACTAGTCATAGACAACAGAGAAAAGTTATTGCAAATTTTTTTCTTGAATAATAGAATAATCATTTAGTTTATCATATTTTTAAAAAGCAACCAAGGAATTGGGGGTGTAGCCCAGTGGTAGAGCTTATGCACAAGGCTCTGGGTTAAACCCCCAGAAATAAAGAAGTAATTAAATATTGTCATCTAAATGAAAAAAACTGCTTTAATCATAATTATTTAAATTTGAGTCAATTAAGGAAGGTCTGTGAAGTTTTGTTTTTTAACTCATCATAGCCAGTTAATTCTCTTATGTTGCTTTCATCTTTCTATTTTCTTATTAGTGAACCTAAATATAACCCTACCTGTTTTGATTTCTCATTTGGTAGCTGAATACAAGCAGCTTTCCTCAGCATCTTTTTGGCAAGACTATTCTTCTAAAACCATGTCTTCTGTTGTCATTTAAGATATCCTTTAACAAGTTGCTAGTCTTAATTCTGTCAAATTTGCCCAGTCTAGTTGAGATAATTATTATATATTATATAAAGCATTCGTGAATTTTGAGTTATTTTCAGATGAATGTAACTTCTTTATAATATTAAAATTAATTGGTTACATTGAGGGAAAAAATTTCCCTCACTGTCTCTATCTATGGCAGCATAAGGATTTGAGGTTGGTGAAATAATGAACTTAATCTAGTTAAAAGTGGAGGTCAAAAGGGAAGAACCCAAAACTTGAATTCTAATTTTCTAAAGGTGATGTCATTTTAGATGTCTTGTTCACATGACTGGCTCATGAATTACTGATTGATATGAAGTGCCTATAAAGTAGAAGTGTTCTAATCTTTTATTTTTTCCTTTAGCTGTTCACACCTCAAGTTAGTATTTTATACTGCTCAGGTAGGGCTAGAATTGATTTAAAAATTTCTTCAGCAGAATATCTAGCCTCTTGTATTAAGCTTCAGTGATTGTATTCTATTAATAGGTAGACTATTATTGAAACTGGGACTTGACTTTGTAACTAGAATGGTAGGCCTTGGGAACTAACCTATCAGCTGATCATCCTATAAAATTTAAAGGGGATTATTTTTGTACATTGTTTTCATGACCTTGCCATCTTCTTCCCTCATATCCAAATAAAAGCATGTAATAATATATCTGTGTTTGCCACAGCACCTTTGACATCCTGTACTTGACTGTATAGTTAGAAATAACTATTCTTTGTGCTACATGGAGTCACTGCTGCCTGGATGATTTCTTGCTGAATCGGCTGATAGGGGAAGCCAGAAAGAGATATATTTGATAATGTCCTCTGTCCAAGATTGTTTAGAGGCCAGCTTATATTAGATTCTGTTACAAGAAATGAATACATAATGGACTCTTTTTCCTCTGACCAGAGTGTAGTGAGATCATACATGTTTTTACCTCCCTTTCCACCTGTATGACCAAATCCCCGTCTCCTGAGAAAGGCCTGGTCTGATTCCTTGGCCTTATTCTTGTATGTGGGACTTTATAGTCCTGGTGTTTAAATTCATCAGCTAGTTTAGATGGTAAGAAACATTAGTGATCAACAGTAAGAATAAATGCAGTGCTTCCTGAAATGCCAATAACAATTTTTACAAAGGAAAAAATGGTATCTACCTCAGATTCTGTAAACTGATGAACTCATTTCGGTCTTTAATTCACATGGGAAATGCTTTAAAACTTTTTTCCTCCTTATTGGGGATTCAACCAAGTGGTGTCCTGACCGCTAAGCAACATCCTTAGGCTCTTTCTTTCTTTCTTTTTTTTTTTTTGCTGATGATTAAACCCAGGGAGTTGTTCATACTAGGCAAGTGCTCCACCACGTAGCTACACCTATTCTCCTTTTATTTTTTTTGTTTTGAGACAGGGTTCACTAAGTTGTTGGCTTCTAACTTGCAGTCCTCCTGCCTCAGTATCCAGAGTAGCAGAATAGCCAGGGATTATTGGTGTGTTTGCTCCCATTGTTTTTGAAATTCTTAAAAGTATGTTATTCCTTAGGTGAAAACATTAGTAAATAAAACTGCCTCTTACAGAAATCACAGGAAGTAAATTCATCTAATCAAAGCCCATTTTTAAAAAAATTCATGAAGTCATTAGTAAAAGTATGTGTCCTTCTTGCTTTGGTTTTGACTCACAGTATGTCAGTTATTAGTTAACTTCCTAGGGCCTCTGTTTGTTTGTTTGTTTTTTGGAGCAGGGGATTGAACCAGGGGCACTTAACACTGAGCCACATCCCCAGCCCTTTTTTTATATTTTTACTGGAGACAGGATCTCACCGAGTTTCTCTGTACCTCACTAAGTTGTTAAGGCTGGCTTTGAACTTGTGGTCCTCCAGCCTCAGCCTCCTGAGCCACTGGCTTTACAGGTGTGTGTCACCACACCTGGTTTAGGGCCTCTGTTTATCCTTAGGGAGGTGGGGCTTTTATTTGTGGAGGGGGGGGTGCAGGAGTGTTATTCTTTAGCTTTGTGTCAGTCTGATAAATTCAGCTATTAAGGTCATTGTGGTTTCTATGAGTAAAGGTCATTGTAGTTTCTGTGATCTGAACAGCGAAATTTGTAAACCTGATGTCTCATATTTTAAATGTTTCATCTTGTGGAAGTAGTCTTACCATCATATTTGATCTTTGATCAAGCTAAGTGGAATGTATTCATTCTCTTCTTCTCCATCCACCAACATCATTTTATTCAGCACCCTGCTCCTATCCCTTTTAAAAATTCAGATGCCTTTTTATTGTTTTTTTTTCATTTCTGATGCTTTTTTTTGCACTGGGGATGGAACTTATGGCACTTGACCACTGAGCCACATCTCCAGCCCTATTTTGTATTTTATTTAGAGACAGGGTCTCACTGAGTTGCTCAGAGCCTCACCATTGCTAAGGCTGGCTTTGAACTCGCCATCCTCCTGCCTCAGCCTCCTCAGCAGCTAGGATTACAGGTGTGCACCAGTATACCCGGTTCTGGTGTATTTTAATATCATGTTGATATAGCATTGGTAGTAATTGACTAGTGTGCCTATGATTAAAATTGTGTTTTTCAGGGCTGGATGCATAGGTTTTTGGTAGAGTGCTTAACTAGCATTTGTGAGGCCCTGGGTTTGATTCCCAGCATTGTTCCTTCACCTCAAAAAAAAAAAGAGGGGTAGGTAGGTACTCTTTTTAAGACAGCATACTGTATTTGTGCAGGTAGAAATAGGTTAAAGAGAATAGACTGGTTTTATCACTTGGTAGGTCATAGGTCAAGAGCATGGGCTATTCAGTACCTTGTTCCCATCCCTTTTTAAAATTCAAATACCCTATCTTTTTTTTGCTTTATTTACTCTGAAGCCAAATTGCATTCTGTTGAAATTGTGAAGATATTCTGAATGTTTTTGCCTCATTAATCTGACGTTAATTTCTTCTTTTTTAGTTGTCCTTATTGGTGATTCTGGTGTTGGAAAGAGTAATCTCCTATCTCGATTTACTCGAAATGAGTTTAATCTGGAAAGCAAAAGCACTATTGGAGTAGAGTTTGCAACAAGAAGCATCCAGGTTGATGGAAAAACAATAAAGGCACAGATTTGGGACACAGCAGGGCAAGAGCGATACCGAGCTATAACATCAGCGTAAGTTTCATGTGTTTCAAGTTCTTTGAAATAGGTTGGCATCTAGAGAATTAGCTGACTTTTGGTATTGGAAAAGGTAGAATAGTCCTTCATTAACCTTGGGTAAACATTCTAAGACCCCCAGTAGATCCCTAAAATCACACATAGTATTAAATCCTCTTTTTTTTTTTTTTTTTCTCATTTAATAGAAGAAACACTTTATGGCTTTTTCTTTGAGGTATTTGAATTGCCAGCATCACTACTTTTGTTTTTGAAGTCATTTTTTAAAATATTTTTTTAGTTGTAAATGGACACAATACCTTTATTTTATTTATTTATTTTTATGTGGTGCTGAGGATCAAACCCAGTGCCTCATATGTGCTAGGCAAGTGCTCTACCACTGAGCCACAACCCCAGCCCTGAAGTCATTATTAAATAAGGGTTAGTTGAACACAAGCACTGTGATACTATGACAGCTGATCTGATAACTGTGAGGGGTTCTAAGTGACTAACAGGTGGGTACTTTATGCCATATGGATACACTGGGGAAAGGAATAAATCATGTCCTGGCCTGGATGGAGTGGGAGCTTATGCTAATCACAATGGCACTGATTTGTAGCTCATAAATTGTTTATTTCTAGAATTTTTGTCTAATATTTTTGGTCTATGGTTGACTGCAGATAACTGTTTAAAGTGATATTGCATATAAAACGGACTGTTATACTGTTTTCTTTTAAGAATTCCAATATTAGGAATTTGTAGAAATTATAAGTATGGTTTTGAAAAAATATATGATCCATATCTTGAGTTCTTCCTGGTGTTCACTTTTATCTGTGTTTGTTTTTTTGATAGTTAAATATATGTTTCTGTTTTCAGGTACTATCGTGGAGCTGTAGGTGCCTTATTAGTTTATGACATTGCTAAACATCTCACATATGAAAATGTAGAGCGATGGCTGAAAGAACTGAGAGATCATGCTGACAGTAACATTGTTATCATGCTTGTGGGCAATAAGAGTGATTTACGTCATCTCAGGGCAGTTCCTACAGATGAAGCAAGAGCTTTTGCAGGTTAGTAATATGAATTCCATGATATTACAGAATTCCATGATATTACAGTGATTCAGTATTTGTTACTGTTAATGTTTTGCAGTTTTGTTATACTTCCAATGATGGTAATAGATCTTAATAGTTTCAGAAAGATAATAATGGTCAGGCTGGGCAAGGGCTGGAGATGTGGCTCAATGGTTAAACACCCCTAGGTTCAATCCCTGGTACCAAAAAAAGAACAGTCAGCAAGAATTAACTGTTTTGAAAGTTCATTGTGCTGATTCTGGGTCTAAATTCCTAGGGAGTGTTAGGGACCATTAGGGATTCCACTACTTAGCTATAACTTTTTTCTCTTGCCTGAGTTCTGGTGTGGACATTTCGGTAGATGCAATTACCTGAAGCAACATTGTGCATTCTTGGCTAGTAAATGTCATGACCTTGCACTAGTTATTATATTGTAATACTTTAACATATTTTAGTGTAGTAGGCAAGAAGCAGCTTTATTTCAAATAATACAGTTACAGAATTCTTAGTGATAGCATAGCTGTGTGGTTGACAGGGAGGATAGTGAAGGATGAAATAGCTGAGTGTTTGATGAGTTTTACTATATTTTAGTAGTATCATTCATTGCTAGTGGTAGTATTTAGATACAGCAAGTTATTTATTTTAATTAAGAACCCATTAACCAGGTATGGTAGTGGGTTCTAGGGTTCTATAGTCTCAGCCACTTGGGAGGAGTTCAAGAACAGCCTGGGCAAAATAGCAAGACCCTATCTTATTTAAAAAAAAAAAAAATCTGAATGAAATTTCTCACTGTTATTTTTAATCTACTAAAATGCAAATTTAATGGTGCCCTTAACAGTCCAGAAGTTGGGGAGGTCTAAGAAGTTATTTCCTTTTTTGAAGGCCAGGGTAAGCTCATTGTAAGAGTGACTACTTAGTATGTGCAAGACCCTGTGTTAGATCCTCCAGCACCATGGGGATGGGGGTTGAGAAGAAAGATTGTTGACTTCTTACTGGAATCAGATCTTAGACTGAAGATACTGCTCAGTGGTAGAGTGCTTGTCTTAGCCCTTGCATTGTGAGGCCGCAAGTTTGATCCCTAGCACTGCAAAAAAGCAAAACAACCCCGAAACTTAACAAGACTGAAGTTTTTGTGTCTCTCTGCAGAAAAGAATGGTTTGTCATTCATCGAGACATCTGCTCTAGACTCCACAAATGTAGAAGCTGCTTTTCAGACAATTCTAACAGGTAAGACATTTTCATGTTTTATCAGTGGGATTGGAAGTTTTAGGAAGGGAATTTAAATTAATTAATCAGGAAACTATGTATTATACCATCTGGGACCGTCATTTGAGAGCTACCAGAAAGAGTGGTTTATAGAGTATAAAATTAGGTAGAACCCTTGCTTGTTGCAAGCACTTCAATCATCCTAATTCATCCAGTTTATGGTGGGAAAAATACTTTGAAAATAGTCGTTCACTTCCATATGTTTAGGTCATGTATTTTATACTTCATGGTCAAAATCACAGGTTAGGTTCAAATGTACTTTTACAAGGTATATATTCAGATCTTGGCTGTGGAAAGATATAAATGCCCTTTTGAAATTAGGCAAGGAAAATAAAAGGCTAGCGGGAATTATTTTTAAAAATCTAAGTGAAAAAAACAAGGGTAAAATTTTCCCATGATATATTATAGAAGCAAGATGTTACTTGTAGATAAAGTCAGCCAGTGATCCATATAGAAAAGTTTAAACAAATAATGGGAAAGGACAAAGTTCATGCTGTTTTGGAATATGGATGACCAGGTCAGTCTCCCTAAAGACTTTTTTTTGTGCTGACTCATATTTACCTAACTTTTTATTTGACCAAATTACCATCAAATATAGTTTTAATCCTTTAATAAGTACTTTGATGGTTTGCTTTTAAGTAGTTTTAGATTGTGTATTACCTTTAAGAACTCATGATTTATAGTCTTTAATATGGAATGCAGTCTTATGTGGCTGAAAAGTCTGTTATGTAGAATTCTTAATATTAGTTTTCCATTATGATGTAACAGGTTAACTTAGACTTTGTAGGCAGCACCAGTTTTTAAAGTATTCTCTTATTTTACTGTAAAAAATCCTAGGAATTAAGAGCATGGACAAGAAAGCCTTATGGTAGTCCTGACTCTTTAGCTTTTTATTAGCTCTGTAATCTTAGGCAAGTTTCTTAACCCTTAACAAGTCCTTAATTTGTTCAGCTGTAAAATTCAGATATGTTTTGGGGAGGTAATACTTTCTTTTTGAGAGAGGGCTTATGTTTTTAAAACCTTGAGATACGATTTGATATGGTCTAACTTGATTCTCATATTTCTAATTTTTTTTTCTTTGTCTCTGTAACCCACAGAAAACAGTGTTCTGTCACTAAGATGTCTGCTCTATACTGTGAAAATGAGTATAATTAGGGCCTATAAAGTACTTAGCTATCCCTGAATATTTGATAAATTAGTAGTTAAATAGTAAGTAAGGCATGGCAAAAAAGAAATTTCTTGAACATAAAATAAACATTAATGATTTACATACCTATTTTATTAGAATCGTCTTGTTATCTGAAGAATACAGTTACTAAACAACTAGTGCTAGAGTTGGATAAACAGTTTGGGAACACAGTACTTTTCTTTAGAATTTTGTGTGTGTCAGGTTTCACTGCAGATTGTACCAAACAAAGTGAGATTTGACTAAATATGCAGTATGTCTGCAAGTTCTGCTTATTTTCTTTATAACCCCTTGTGTGGATTTTATTGAGTCAACATATAGAGTAGTACATTGAGACCTAGGAATTTGAAGGTTTTTACTTTTTTAGTTGCTCCTATGTAATTCAAGTCACTGAGCCACTCTTGTCCTTGGATTCACAGTGTTTTAACACTTGTGAATTAAATCTCTTTAGAGGTCTGAGTCTCTTCATGCCTCTGAAAACCTCACTTGAGAAAACCTTTTAGGCAGTCCTCATTGTTAGGATATTTTTTATGTCCTATTAAATCTCCTCTGCTGTAATTCTAGCTCATTTATTCCAATCTCAATTTCTAGCAGTTTGTTCTGGTACTAAGTGAAGATAAAGCAAGTTCTTTTTTCCATCTGGAGTTCATTGTTGTATGCATCGTTTTAACCTCAAACTTCTGACCCACTCAGACATAAAACTTAATTAGCAGTGATGAATACTTAAATTAAGCTGTTTTGTCCTTAAAGATGAACATCTAGCTATTTTCTTAAAATTTTCCCTAGATTATTACTGTTTTTTTTAAATTTTTTAAAAATTGTCAATGGACCTTTATTTTTTTTATTTATTTATTGATATGTGGTGCTGAGAATCGAACCCAGTGCCTCACAGATGCTAGGCAAGCGCTCTGCCACTGAGCCACAACTCCAGCCCTCTAGATTAAACTGTTTAAAAAAATTTTTTTTAGTTGTAGATGGACACAATAACTTTATTTTTCATTTATTTATTTGTATGTGGTGCTGAGGATCAAACCCACATGTGCTAGGCAAGCGATGTATCACTGAGCTACAACCCCAGCTCCTAGATCAAACTTTTGTTACTGCTAAATGTTGTTTGAAAGCAAAGACTTTTAGTTTTACTATTACTTTTCTACTTTACATTTACTGTTTCCTCAGCTTCTTGCATAATTCTGAGTGTTGATCCCCAGGATCAAAGGTCACTGCATATGGCAGCAGACCTCTGTGTTGTTTTGCATGTGTTAGGATGTTTGTTCTAAACTTTTCTTCCTTTTGTATTCCTGTGAGCATGGACAAAACAGGAAAGAGAATAGTAATCTCATTACAATTAATTATACCTTTAACATTAAGGAAGAGTTTATTATTTTTAAAAATTTTTTTAAAAATACTTTTTTAGTTGTACATGGACACAGTATCTTTATTTATTTATTTTTATGTGGTGCTGAGGATCAAACCCAGTGCCTTACATGTGCTAGGCAGGCGCTCTACCATTGAGCCACAACCCCAGCCCTAATTTGTTTTATTTTGATATTGTTGGAATAATAAAATAGTAGCTTTTTAATTTTTTTTTTTTTGTACTAGGGTTTGAACTCAGGGATGCTTAACCACTGAATCATCTCCCCAGCCCTATTTTGTATTTTATTTAGAGACAGAATCTCACTGAGTTACTTAGTGCCTCACTTTTGCTGAGGCTGGCTTTGAACTTGCAGTCCTCCTGCCTCAGCCTCCCGAGCCTCTGGGATTACAGGCATGCTCCACTGTGCCCAGCTGGCTTTTTAATTTTTAAGATGCATCATTATCTTGTATTGGAAAGTGTATCTGTGTTATTAAGAGTTAGTTGTAGGGCTGGGGATGTGGCTCAAGCGGTAGCGCGCTTGCCTGGCATGCGTGTGGCCCGGGTTTGATCCTCAGCACCACATACAAACAAAGATGTTGCGTCCGCCGAGAACTAAAAAATAAATATTAAAATTTAAAAAAAGAGTTAATTGTAGTGTTTGTTTTAGAATAGACTGTGGCATTTGTGATATTCTTGACATCCATGCATTTCACAATGATTCTATAAGATGATTTTTTTCTTGGTGATACGAGTGATGAAACCCAGGGAGCACTACCACTTGTACCACCAAAAAAAAAAAAAAAATCATCTTATGGAATCATTGTGAAATGTATGGATGAAACCCAGGGAGCACTACCACTCAGCTATATGCCTAGCCCTTTTTATTTTTATTTTGAGATTTTTGAGACAGGGTCTTCTAAGTTGCCTAGGCTGCCTCAAATTTGCCATCCTAACTCAGCCTCCTGAGTCACTGGTATTACAGGTATATGCCACCATACACAGCCTACAAGATGATTTTATTGGTGGGCATTGTTTTAGAGACAGATGGTACATGAATTAGCCTAGTAGATTGCTCAGAATCTGCATTTCAGTGCAGCTTTGTTTTTGTTCCTCAAGCTCACTAAGAAATGATTTCTAACCATGTTTATCATACTCTTATTTTTTCTTCTAACTTTGCATTTTGACAATTTCAAACTCAACAAAAGTTTGTAGTAGTAGTACAAAGAATTTGTAAATAACCCTTCACCCATATTTATTTATCAAATTGAAACAGATTGAAATCCCCCCACCCCATAAGAACAGCTTTCTTATGCTGAGAATGGAAGCTAAAGGGCAGCAAACCCCCCCCCCCCCCATCTGATATATGCCAAAGAAATTGAGAGCAGATATTGCCCCCTCCTAAGCCATGTGTTGCACAGGCTAACTAAATCCACATAGTACATTTCCTGCCTTTTGTCTCACTGCACTGCCTCTTTTACTTTAAAGCTCTGCTTACACATGGTGGGGCTGCCTGTAATCTCATTGATTTGAGTGGCTGAGACTGGAGGATTACAAGTTCAAGGCCAGCCTTAGTAATTTAGTGCAGATGAGTGCAACCCTGTCTCAAAATCTGCGCCACATCTGAGTAAGTGGCAGACATACTGCCTCTTATTCCTAAGTACTTTTCTGTATGTATTTTCTAAAAAACAAGGACATTTTTTTTTTCATAACTATAGTACAGTGATCAAAACAGACGGAATAGTGCTACATCAACAGCTATAGATCTAATTCTGATTTTGCCAGCTGTTCTTAGTAATTTTCTTACTAGCAAAAGAAAGTTTGAGATCAGGTCATGCATTTCATTCAGGTGGTTTATCTCTTCAGTTTCCTGAACCAGTTCCTTTAGATTTCTTTTTCTGGGGCTGGGTACTGGAGATTGAACTCAGGGGCCCTCAACCATTGGCTACATCCGCAGCCCTATTTTGTATTTTATTTAGAGACAGGGTCTCACTGAATTGCTTAGCACTTCGCTTTTGCTGAGGCTGGTTTTAAACTCTTGATCTTCCTGCCTCATCCTCCTGAGCCACAGGGATGACAGGATGCGCTACTGCACCCAGCTTTCTTTCTTTCTTTTTTTTTTTTAAACATTGAGTTTTTGAAGGGTACAAGCCTGTTATTTTGTACTGTTTCTCAATTTGGGCTTGTCCTGTGTTTCTTCATGAAGACATTAAATTCATGTTATACACTCTCAGCAGGAATGCCACAGACTTGTTCTCAGTGCAAAGTCTTGTGGTAATTGGTTTATCTTAATTGTTACAGATGTTGTATTTCTTTTCTTTTTTTTTGTATCAGGGATTGAACCCAGGGGCACTTAACCACTGAGCCACAGCCCCATTCCTTTTCTTATTTTATTTAGAGGTCTCTCCAAGTTGTTTAGGACCT